CATAAAAATATGAAGCAGTGAAATAGAAGACGCCCATTTGGAACTCTTTGAAAAATGGAAGCACCACAAATAAATTTTCATTGCTCTATAAATAACGCATTATGTCTGTAACAAAAAATGTAAATCTCAAGACCAATAACAGCAGAAGCAAAGTCAATGTAACCCAGTCGATACACTTATTGATGCTTAACATGTCTGGTCTAACAAGACTTCAATATTACACAACCACCACTGGTGTGCTTTCATTTGTGGCTCAAATTCTTTCTCGCATTGTGCTTTTCAGCACACAAATACACTTTTGCAACATAAAATTCACAAACATGTTTTCTATAAGAGCTGAATTAATTGAAGTATTTCAACCAACTAATTCAGTTTATAATGCAGTGTAGAAAACTGGAATGAGTTCTTTGCATTCTTTATTTTATACTTTAAAACACAAAATAATCCATAATATGAACAAAAGGATTTAATGAATTACATTAGGCAAAATTAAAGAAGTGTTCTTCCCCGTACAAATACAATACATATCTTAAAGATGGTACTTAGCATGAATATGTTCCTCCACTCTGCAAAACTTAATAATTTCTGTAACACACTGGACAATACACTGTGACAAGGAAAATGTATTTTATTTTGTACTGACTACTTATACTTAATATATTACTGTTCACTGTTTCAGGTCTCATGTTAGAAAAAATGTATGTGCAGCTTTTTAAAGTTATATATAACATTTAATTTATCAGAAATATGAATATCCCTCTTTTTCACAGAGTTCATAATAGGTGTCAGTTTTACTGTACCATTTAATTTTTAATATCTATAAACATGACTTCATTAAGTGAAACATTTTTACCATTTCCACAGTACTGTTTTAGTTCGAAAATTCAACTGGTAGCATTTTCTTAATTTTCTACAGAGGACATCTGCCTTACAGTCTCATAACCACAACCACCTCTTAGAGAAAGCCACAGGTTAGATCAAAACACACAGGGTGCACCCAATGATCAGTGTCACCCCATGCTTGCCCCAGTGCCCTGGCAAACTGCTGGAATGTGTTGATGTGGTGACACTACCGTCCAGCTCCACCCCCACCAGCACCACCCTCTGGATTAGCAGCCCCTGACAGCACCACAAATATCACCACAGGAACTATGTACATCCACTGCAAAAATAAAAATAGAACCCATAACCAATCTAATATTAGCTTATAAATCACAGCACATGAACCAAGATGTAACTTCTTTTAGCAATCATAACTTTATTAATGGCACATTATAAACTCCAAAACTTCCTCTATAATAAACCTTTATAACACACACATAAATGCAAATTTGAAACCGATACCATCTACATGTACAAGGTACACAGACAAAATTATTACAATAAAGCATTATTACCAAGACCCAACATATAGATATAATATATTTATGTCTAATATATTGACACTAGTTTTAGAAGCCTATTTAAAATCATATTTCATCATGTTAATTCCTATCATGTAATAGTATTCAAAAGAATATTACTCTTGAGAGAAAATTTTTTCCCAGAACTGGAAGTCAAGATTTACAGTCAAGTTCTGCAACTTGTAGGCTGCTGATCCCAGGTTTGGCAACTCTGTCCACAAATCACTATTCATATTTTAAAGCAAAGAGTGATTAATTTAATTGCAGAGTTTTTAAAATAATACAAACATGTCAACATAACGCTTTATTACAATCTAACCAAATATATTTATCACACATGTTTTAATGTCTATATATCCATGGATAAAGAATAAATACTGTTCAAATTCAATACTAAGAACATCATTAACAATGCAATGTAAAAGATGGTAGCAAGGGAAATTAAAATTTTAAATATAAATGAATACACAAAAAGTAATCTTGAAAAGTGTCAAAACACCAATCTTTAGAAAAGAATTGCCAATACCAGCAGTATTAAGAAATAAACTAACTTCAGTTCTGGAACTTTCCACAGCACATGCATCACTTCTGGTAACACATGTATCTGTAGGATGAACTGAAAACAAACTTCATATACAAAATAATAAAACTGTACTTGTCTTACACAGGGTATACCATTCAAACACAGCCCAATAACTATCATACTGTGGCAAAAAAAATTATATTAGATGGCTATCTACCCTCGTAAATCTGATTGAGGAGGCCTGTAGAAATCTTTTTCAATTCTTATATCAGTATATTACTATATACACTGTCATTGTCACCCTTTATGTAGACATATTTACCCCTGCCAGCTTACAAATCTGTTTTTCAAACATAAATAATATCTTTCCAATGAGACAAAGATGTATTGCTGTGGAACTAAAAGTATCCATAACTCCTCCACAAATAGCTGTATTTTCACTTGATAAGGATGTTTGCATGTCAAAACACTGCAGTCGGATTTGCATTAATTCTGACAGTATACTCAAGTCATTACCATATTAATGTGCTTTCAGTGTTGAAATATTGCAAACTGTATAAAAAAGAAAACAATACAAATAATCACATACAAGGCTACATTAAGGACTTTCCACAGAAAATCCTCCAAGTAACTTACATATTTGGCCAAAAATGACCGATTATCTTTAATTTCTCCTCTTTCTCTTGCTTCTCGTTCCTTCTCCAGCTTCTGAATGTAAGCAGCAGTATCAGGACTGAAAGCAGTAAATGGAGAATAAATGAAAATTAAATTGAAAAACTGATACAGCAGAGTCCCAATTATCTGACCATTAGTTATCCAACGTGCAGTAAATCATAGTGAGGAATTAAATTCTATCAAGACCACACTTGCTTATGTTTAACAAAAGAAGGTGACCACTACTTATATACTACTTACTGTTCTGGCACTGGCATTACCTTGCTGCAAAGAAAATGAAGGAGGCTCACAAGAAAATACTCATTACTAATTTATTCAAAAAGTAAATACTTTCATTTACAAATTTATATAATGGTAAATACCATTTTTGTAAGATTTTCCAATTGATGCCATACTGTACTTTTTTTAAATTTAATAATATTGTAAACAGAGTTAATTTTTACATGTCTTTTTTAATAGAGTTCCACATTATCCAACATTTTTGATTATCCAACTGTCCTTCAATCCCACTCAGGTTGGATAGTCAGGACTCTACTGTACTAATAAAACAATGTATTATAATAAAAAACACCTATAAAGGAAAACAAGAGCACTACAGCCCAGATCAGATCTTGGCTTCAGCTATTTTCTGTGGTTTCCTAACAATGCTTCTTTTACAGGGATTGTTTGTCAGCCTATTGCCCAACCCCCAACCTGGAGGACTAGTCCCCTGAATTTATATCCTCCGAGGCTGGGTGGACTGGCTATACCCCTGGACACTGGGTACCTCGAGAAGGTGACTTCCTGTACTTACTATGTGAGCCCCTGAGGGGGGTTAAAAGGTTAGGAGGGGGAAAAAACACACTGTCACATGAACATGACAACATGAATCTACCTTTCCTTGTATAATAAGGTTTAATAATTTAACTGCACAAAAATGTATGCAACTCATGCTTACAATAAAATTTTACTACATGGGAATAGAATATTTAAACCATCACAGTAATGGTTCAATTGCATGTTTCTGTGCTGTATCGCCATGCCACACAACTGATGAAAGTCAAATGTGCAGTACATGAGTAATTTTACTATACCTGCTATGTTATAAAGAAGTCCCATAATGTAAAAGTTGCATAATGTCTAAAAATAAAAAAGGAGGATTACTATAACACGCCTCAAACTTCACTTTTAATTCCCCTTCATTTCCATGTGTGCATGTGTGTCTATGCAGGCCTATGTACATATGTGCAAACTGATAAGTTACTATATCATAAAATATTTACACAGGTCCTTGTTCCATGTGCTTCACAGATACGGTAGTATTGAACTGCTGCAGATGTTCATGAGTAATATGGCGCCCTTTACATATAGATGGTGAAGTTGACATGGAAACTGCAATCACTGAACCTGTATGGTCCAACGAGACTGTTAGAATGTCTGACAACTGAGACTCAGCCAATGAACACTGCAAACATAAAAACAAAATATACATATCTGTTTAAGAAAGCAGCATGATAATTTAGCCTGAGCCTTACTTCATCAGATACATTCACAAAACACATAGCAGTACAACAGTAATGTGTCCACCAACAAACCTTACCGCTTTAACAAATGTGAGAAACGATGTTTCTTTTCCATCCAATGTTTGAACAAATGCACGCAACCGATACAGTCCATCTTTCTCAGCAAGAGCCTGAAATTCAATTAGTGTTTTAACACACAATCACGTTTCTATTAAGAGGCAACAAAAAGACCTGTTTTCAAGCTTCAAAAATTTGAAATATTTGTTTAACCTTGATAAATTAACTGTCAATGAAAAGTGGTATGTCTACCACATTGTATTAAAATTTGGAAAACAGGATATTTTCATATAAATGTGGATGATACTGATCAGCTAACAGATGAAAGTGAGAATAAAACAGAATAGAATTTATTTGCATTCCACAGATCCCTTATAGGCCAAAGTCCAGGATGTATAACATGTCACAGCACAAATAAAATATTCATTTCTAATACAAATATGATAATAATTACAGCCAACTATAGTATTACCACAAAAATAATTACACAAGAAAGCATAACCACTACTGCTTCCATGTATTTATGAGAGAGAGCATTAATTTGGGCGGGGGGGGGGCGACGACAGCTGTACAACTGCTCCTCAGGACCATAAAACAGTTTTAAATAATCAAGAGCATAATATAAAATGATACTTATCAGATTACACAATGTCTTGAATTACTAGTATTCATGTCAGTCAGTTTTACTTTATCCCCAATAACTGAGTACATTGTCCTACTATATTTCCTGTGCAGTTGACAACTATTCAGCTGTTAAATTTCCTTCCTGAAAGTGTAATAACTAATGACTAACACACACTTTATAAACAGTTTACTCCTATTCCTATCCTTAAAAAGGACTTTCTGACCCATTTTATGATCACACTCCCAGCTATACTTTATTCTCCCTAAGCAGTATAGTCTATTTCTATGAAGTTTTCTAACCAAAATATTTTAAGTTTATTTAGATAACTAAATGACTTTAAATGACATGCTACTGTTTTCAGTTTAAATTGGGCAGATAACCTATTCATTTCAAAAACTGTATTTGAGCATAATTACTGAATTAGCAAATTTTATACTTACTTTCAATTTCTGCTTATCCTCTGCTGAAAGAGGAGCCTGCTGTACTGTTACTGCTCCTGTTCTTATGCTTTGAATATTAACTGTACCTCTGTCAAAAAACTGAGGTTCTTTAACTTGATCAAAGGAATGCTGAAGATTAATTGACAGTTGACCATCATATTCCACACCATCTGGCTGAAACTAGATCAGGGCATTACTGGTTCTTTAAACATAAATTATACTTGCATACAACTGGAAAAAAAAAGTTTCTCATGTGTTTGATAGTGGTATTACACACCACTACCAATAGTTTAATTTTCTCAAACAAGTGATCCTGTGATAAAGGACTGTATATTTTGTACAGATTGGCCATTCAGACATGATATTTGTCCACCTGTAACAGCATGAGGTGGAAGTTTCATTATTAAATTTTACCTAGTATAAAGATTTATAACAATGTTTAATATGAAGTGACAAAAATGTCCTGCATATAAAATTGTTGCAATGAAACACATACAATACAAGTAATAAAATCATGAATAACTTGGTGATCAAACAGCTTCATAATAATCATTGATTACCATCTTCAGAGAAAATGTGAGCATGCACATGGCCACAACTTACCCATTCACTTTACACACAAAACAGAATGTTTTTTAAAAAGGGGTATGTTTAAAGAAAGGGTATTTTTTTAACATTTGTTGTCCATTAAAAGTTCTGTAACTACAGTGACGATAACTAAACATGCACATTCATATGCACCTTATACTATCTCTAAATTTGTTCGAACCGTGCCAGACTCTTCGTGAATCTGTTCTGCCATGCAGATAGCTTAATCCGAACGTCACCTCTACACCCCATGAAAACATGATACAGCTATGAATAAAGCTTACTTAATGGTTAGTCTTCACAAAAAATTATAATTATTTACCGCAAATATCCAAGTCGTACAGAAAACAAGAAATCCGTAAACATAAAGAAACATCATAATATATACCACAACACTATGTAATGCTGATATTAAATATATTATCATTCAAAAAAAACAATCACATTTCAAGCTGTCTCCAAATGCCCAGACCATAATTAACGTCCATTTTCATTCCTTTCCACAGTTCCCATACATGGGACAGCAGAATCCACAGAATACAAACATACTACAGTCTTTGGTTGTCTGTGGTGCAAAATTGTTTGTGAAGTGTTTGGTTTTTTGTAAGAAATCAGTATTTCAAAAGTTTAATTACTTAACGTATATGTAAAAATGGTGAATATATATACTTTTGTTACAGTAGCAGGAATTTTAATTACCCAAGGTAACGTTGGTGGAAATAAAGGATAGTTCCATTAAATTGGGTGTGGCGTAAGAGACCTATAACCTAAGAGTGCAAGGAAACAAGTGTTTTTATGCTTTTTGTGAATATCATTTACACGATTTTAATTCCAGCGTCTTGTTGGTCTCCGTTTAACCTTTACTGCTACCGATGTGTATCTACCCATCCTGGATGTGGAACGCCGTTTAATTGGCTTTGGTATTGGGGTGAGGTCTGCCCAGAAGTTGATGACAAATGTGTTAAGATTACTGAAAGGAAGGGAGGTAATATCCGTAATTTTTTTTATTTTGGTTTGTTTGATGGAATGAATAGTATACAGTTCCCTTTACCTGAATTTAATGTTTTCCTGTTGAACAAGGAGAATGAGGTAACTGGGATACATGGTAAACTTAGAAATGTGTGCAAAATTTTGATCAGAAAACCTGAGGTTAGGTGATGAGACCATTTGAGTAACTTGGGTATTGGTGGGAGGATAGTATTACAATGGATCTTAAGTAGAGTGTGAAAGTATGACTTGAATTGAATGGCTCAAGACAGTGTCCAGACATGTGAAAATGGTATACTAAATCTTTACATTCCTTAAGAGGCATTGTGTTTGTTGATCAGATAAGTAACTATCAGCTTCTCAAGAAGGACTTTGTTCCATGAAGGTAGTTAATTGACCTTTTTTCTGTTTTCAGAAAATTATGTTCATAATTGCAAGATGACTCGTGATATCTATTTTTGTAGTGTTGTGACTCACGTGCATATTTTAATATGGTAATTCACTTCTGATTACTCATTCTTTGTCTGATCTAATGATTTAAAATAATGCCTTGTGCATTTTAATTTTCTTCTAGCTGAAACCATAATAACTCGTGAATGTTTGAGTTCATTGAGAAGTGTACGTACTGACATCCCAGCCGATCACTATGAGGGATGCAGACCTGCTGCTAAGGATGTGCGTCTTGCTCATTATGTCAATAACTCTATTAAAGAGTTGGATATAAAAAGGTATGCATCATCACTATCCCATTTCAGATAGTTTAACCTGTGGAAGTCCTGTTATATCCTGTTCATATTTCATTACTTTTCACTTTTGACTCTAAAATATTTACCTTATATAAATTCATAATCAAATTAATAAGCCACGTATACTTATTGTTTTCTCAGTTACTGAACAGACTCAAATTCTAAGGGTCATTCTTTATTTATGCAGCATACATCTTGAAGTGTTGTTATGCCTGTGCCCAACTGTGTTAGCTATCCATGGCTGTCTATTCAGTAAATTTGCAGCAATCCTTTGAAGGACTGTAATGTACCGTGTTTATTAAATTTCAACATGATCCTGAATAAGATGTATCTCATTGTGGAAAGGTGAAAATTAGGGGAAAAGAACCCTGAATTAACATTGAATTTATTGGTGGATACTATATATACATATGTAACACACGAATTATTACATTTGTAATTTTGGTCACTTCTGCTTGCTTTTATTTATTTCCTGCAGTAAAATATTATCTCTCTGATAAGATTGGAAATGCAGTTTTGTAAGGGAAACACTGAAGATAGCTTTATAAAGTCAAAATGTCTAAGCAGACTTCTTTTCTAGTATTGTGTCATTTTTATATGGGTTAATGATCTACTGGATTATGACACAACATGACTTGAAAATTCATGATCATCCACCATTGATGTCACCTTGTATATTATATTTGAATTAAAACTTGTGAACTAAACATACTGCTTGCAATATTATGACAAGATTACTTTTTTACCTTACTGATAGTGTTTTTATTTATAGTAAATATTACTAATGTTCTGGTTTACTTTTCTTTACCCGAGTGTTATGTTAAAAGAGTTTGATTTGTATTTTATTCAGGGATCACTACGATGAGACAACTTGGTGTTTCTGCTACTTTGACAATAGATGTAATGGGGCGCCATCTAATGTTGTGTCAGTCTCACTTCTTGGAATTATTCTATATACATTAAGACTTCTCTGACATGTACAACTCTTCAAGGCATTCCAGAAGTGCTCCAGAATCTCCTTTATTTTGAAATAATACAAATGTGTATCAAGAGGACTTATTTTTTATGCAGAGTGAATATTTCACTCTAGGTGATTTTTATTTTTTCCTCGTTCTATTCATAACCACTTGATGCATTTGATCCCACTTGTAATTTTTTCATACTCTGTGCCTTAAAGGTAGTTTTAATGTCAATGATCGTCTCAATTAGGAGAATCTGTACCTAGTTTAGAGAATTATGAATAGACTGTTATTTATGCATGGGGTATCTAATTGGCAAATTTTATTTCAGACAGGTTTCATAACCAGAATATTTCTGTAAATCATATGCTTGAAGTTGAAAACTGATTGATGAATTTCTAAATTTTCCCAAATATTTGATAGTTATATGTTCTGATCATGTTGATTACATATTATATGCAGCATACATAAAAGGTGATTTGGTAAGATCAGTGATATCACAGATCCTAACTGTCATTTTTCACTCAAGATGCTCAGAATAATTTACTGTTACGAGTACATTCTAAGTTTGAATGTGGATGATTTTGTCTTTGAGTGTTTCATTCCTCATAGTCACTATAATTGAATGGATTTTCTGTTTCTAGTCTTGGAACTGATTCCTTTCTAGAAAAATAAAAATACTTTTAAAATATAAAAATGTGATACCACAACTGCAGGAAACTAAAAGTTGTGAGTTTCTTTCTGTGAAACAAGTAAATAGTTCACTGAGGTGCAGGTGTGTGTATTTCAGATAATACCAGTTCATTCATTAATGGAATCCTCAAGTGAAACAAAAACTGAAATTCATAAAATGCTCAGTTTTGAATGAAAATGGGCTTAAAATGTGTAAAATCAAGCCAGTTGTAATATAAATCAAAGAATATGTCCCCAAAAGTATTTATCTGTTGACAACTGGTACATCCGTCCATATAGTATTGTACAGATAGTATTGAACCATGTTTTGTTTAAGAGGAAGGTTGGAGGCATTTATACTTTTATAGACCATTAACCAAAATAAATAATAATATTGAATCTCATGTTGAAATATTTTTGTGTTGCATTTTATACATTAGAAGTGTCCAGTCTTTTTTGAACTACTTCTATGAATGTACATAATTGAAGAAACAATAATTTAATATGGTTTACATACAAAGAAATAGTAATACCATTTTCCTTGATAATAAGAATTTTTATTTGTCACAAGTGAAATTGTCTGGCAGTAAATATATGGCTGAAATTAAGAACAGCATGTCTTCTGCAGAGATGGTAAAATATAGTGCCAACAGGAACTGATATTCCTGTGTTATGCATGAGCAGTAGTTGTATGTTCCATTATATCAAATATTTCCCATCCATTTTTGTTAAGAATGTTTTATACTACAGAGTGTTGCAGGTTAGAACTTATACAGCAGAGATAAAGATAAATTAAACTGTAATGGCAGTCATGTTATATTTTATTCTGTATTCATTTAACTTGAAAATTTTACAATATAATTTTATCAATGGTAAAAAGTTTTATTTCATTTATTCTGTATTTCTTTATGTCTCTTTCTTGACAGATGCTCTAATTTAATTGAAGAGAGATGCAACAAAGTACCTTCCTCAAGCAGTCCTTAAAACCTTTCTAAACATAAATATTAAACCCACAGCAATAAATTAAATTAAAGTATAATAAATTCTGTCAAATCAAAAAACTCGTGGGTATGGTGAAATATCAACAACTCTACTCAGTAGCTGTGCAGACTACATTAGTACTCCTTTAAGTTATCCTTGCAATGAATCAACGACAGTAGGGGTTTTTCCAGAATTACTTAAACATTAAAAAATTAAACTTCTATATAAAAAAATTGAAAAATCATGCATATTTATCCATCTAATGATGTATTTGCATGTCTTGAACAAGTGGATTAAAGCCAATAAACTAATATTACATTTTTATAAAAAAATGTGAAATAATGTACTACCAACAAAAATTGTGTTAAACTGGGAACAGAGTACATGAATAAAATAATTTAAGAAGAAGAAAAAACAGTTTATTGGCCTACAAACTGACAGTAACTTGAATTGGAAAAAGCGTATTCAATACATTATCACCAAACTAAGCTCAGCATGCTCTGCTATGAGGACTCATCACTCAAGCAAACAAATTTTATAATATACCTACATCATTAATTTTTATTCATTAATGCTTCACTTAGCGAAATACCAGATTATTGCAACATTCGTTTCGCAAATATTTAAACCCTGAATATGAAAAAAAAAAATGGGTCCGCAGTGGCCGCGCGGTCTCAGGCGTGGGCCTTGTGCCGCTAGGTCGCTGGGATCGTGTGTTCGAATCCCACTTAAGCCATGGATGTTTGCGTTTTTCGGTGTTGTGCTGTCCTGTGTACAGGTAGAGGCCTTGCGACGGGCCGATCCCTCGTCCAAGGAGTCTTACCGAATGTCTATAGTTCAGGCCAACGAAAAGTTGGGACCCGCAGTGCTCAGGCACTTGAAGAACGGGTCGTTTCCAGTATCCCAGAATATGAAAATACTGTTTCCTGGAATACCTGTACCGAAGAGTACAAGGCAATTATGATATTTCAAGTTTAAAAAAGTATTGGAACTCTGATAGGAATTGAACGTTGGAATTGCCCAATGTAATTGAAAAACTTTGCACGATAATTTGTTTTTGTGAAATTGATGGAAATTAGATTAAATTAAACTTGTCTTATTCATTCTCTGTATTCAATCCCATTTTCTGTAATTATTTATTCATGCGCATGTGCAAGATCACGCTGTCCGTTACAGGAGCTGCTCGTGGGTTTAGAATATGTATGTATGTTGTCAGTGGCTATAGCATTGTCTTTGTTAAATTTATGGTTTGTAAAAGTGAAGGTGTTTAGAATTTATTTCGTATACGTAATGTAAAACAATTTTTCAATCCTCCAAAGAGTTCTTATCTTAGAACACGTATATTTTCATTTTAGATAGTAAGACGCGAGTATGATTTGAGGTTAATTGTCAATCATGAGTGATTAATCTTCGGTTTTAAGGTTACCTTGTATTCATCAACTAAACAAGAACACCGTACAAGTCTTTTATGATTATATTATTTTTATGAAATACTATATCTTATCATTTACCAGGATAACTTTTGTCGTATGATTTCATATTCAAAAACTTGTACTTTTGTACAATTCAGATTGCTGTTGGGTACTGTAATCAGACAACATGTCGTACATGTTAGGACATCTGCACAATGGCTGGCAAGTCGATCAAGCAATACTGTCAGAAGAGGATCGAGTTGTGGTAAGAAAATTTTATAACATCTGTAGCAACAGTGCCAGATATTATGTTTGATTTTGATAGAATACATAAAAGTAGCAAGACAGCCTAACAGAAGTCATCACAGTGTTGGCTGCTCGGGTATCGTCACCTCTCATTCTACATTTTCTACACCTGTTACTATAACATTATGTCATGCCAGAGACAAGGTACACTTCAGATTTGGTACTTATGTTTGTCATTATTGCATAAAAATTACTAATCATTGGTTTACTGTTATTTTACAACCCCCTGTGAATTAATTTCTAGTGGAGTGATGTGTTGTAAGTTATTTTTTGATGCTATCAACTGCAGCATTGAATGGTGTGCATGAACAATCATTTCAATTGAAGTTGATAGAATTGTGGACGAAGCATTGGTTGCCTATCTCAAGGTACTATACCAGCAATCACCAGAAGGGATTGTGGTAAGTCATAAAGAAACTTGTTAGGAAGAACAAATACCAGTGCCTCTTTCAATGACTCCAATGTGTTAAGTTACTACAAAATATTTTTGTATACTCAAACAGAATGCAAATGTAATGTAACATAACCTGTCACTGAATTTGGATATGTTAGATAACGTAATAGTATGTGTAGCAGCACAAAAGTATGTTTTTAATTTACTTACATATGTCAAAATTCTCTGAACAAAGCACATTTGTGATTTATTGGGCTATTTAGGAATGTGTTATCAGCTTCATATATATATGTCGTCACATCCTGTCACTATGAGCCTGTGTAGCTCAGTCAGTATAGTGATTGTCTATGGACTCGACAACCAGGGTTTGATTCGCAATGGGACAAAGGATTTTTCCTCTAGCTTCTGCATCCAGACCAGTTCTGGGGCCCACCCAGCCTCCTATCCAATGGGTACCAGGTTCCTTTCCTGGGTGTAAAGCATGGCCGGGGTGTGATGCTGTGGTCAAAAATGAGTAGGAGGTATACCCCTTCTCCCCCCAAGCACGTATAAGACATATAGTGGGACAGCTTTACTTTTTCTTTTTTATGCCCTATCACTAAGGCAACTGACCTAAATACAAGCCTATTGGTACTTTGCCCAGTGCCTTTGGGTCTACCCTTCAAGGTTGTCATTAACACATATAGGCTTGTCTTCATGTAAAATAAGCATTATTACTGTCCAATTTCATTCAGTATTCAAATGTGTCAAATTCCTTAGCAAGACTTCTTAGTTTCAGATTGAATGGATCTTTCATTGTGACATGTGAATACATGGTGAAGCTTATGGGCACGTTTGCAACTTCATTGCAAACACACCAAAATGAATCGGACCTTTTATTGTACCTACAAAACATTACCACCCTCATTTGAGGGAAGAACATAATATTTGTGATTTATATATACACACCTTTGACAACTTTATCATTTTACTTCTTATCTGTAATTATCCTAAATTTATCTTTCATAGTGGCTCCACATGTTAAATGAAAGATAAATTTAGAATAGAAGTGCATCTATAATATTACATTTGTTTATTGTAAAAGGTCATTCGATTTGGTCATGACTGGGACCCATCATGTATGAAGATGGATGAAGTCTTGTACAGCATTGCAGAAAAGGTGAAGAATTTTGCTGTTTTGTATCTGGTCGATATTACGAAGGTCCCCGACTTCAATAAAATGTATGTAATTTATATGCATATACACACATTTTTTATGTATGTATAAATACTATATGTCTGCATGATTTTAAGCTTTCACGGCGACTAAATGTTATGAATTCTTCTCAGGCAACTAGCTGTCAGGTGGTTGAAAGGTGAAAAGTTGTTTTCAAGTCTCAATCGCCCGACATGGCTGGTAGAACGAGAAAATTTTGTTATACTATATGTCTTTGATATCTTCCTATGTAATGAGGTCAGAGGGATGAATCTGATATTGGGGATTCTTTAGTATTTTAGGTAATGATTATTTTAAATGTTCAAATTACATGAGTTTAAGCTCAACTCCAAAGTTTTAAGGTGTCTGGATGTACACATGGAATTTTGATCTGCTGTGAAGTTTAGTTTGATGGAGGCTTACTTCAGTCTAACTAGAAAATATTATTTTGGTTTCATATATAAAAGGACTTTGTAGCAATTGAGTTAATATGCAGTTCCATCTCATGTTACAGGTACGAGTTGTATGATCCATGTACAGTTATGTTCTTTTTTCGAAACAAACACATAATGATTGATCTTGGAACAGGAAATAACAACAAAATTAATTGGCCACTGGAAGACAAGCAGGAAATGATTGACATAATTGAAACAGTCTACAGAGGGGCACGCAAAGGACGAGGTTTAGTGGTTTCTCCGAAGGATTACTCTACGAAATACAGATATTGACTTTTTATTTATATTTATGTTTTTTGATTGTGTCTGTCCACATATTTGTTAGTGTGTTAACTGGTAACTGTGATATGAGTAAGTGACAATAGCCAATTTCTTGAGAAAAATAAAATACCAAATTGATGTTGAATGGGAATGTAGTTTTATCATATAGTGGATGCTGATGTTATAGATACTCAGATAAAATACATTTTGAACATTCACATGTATCACAACATGAACATTTCATTAAAATAGGCTGTAACTAGTTTATTAAATAAACCAGCACAAAAGAGGGTTGCAAAACAAAAATTAAGTTTAATAAGATATGAAAATTAAAGTTCTACAGATTATTTGAAACTCATAAGCTATGTAGACCATATCTATGTGTATAAAAAAGAATTTAGTCACTTGTATTCATCACACGTATTTTATTTGTAATGCAGTCACTTTTATCAGAATTGATGTTGAATAGGAACCCATCTTTCCCATTAGTTGATGGCTCACTGGATTGCAGTATGAAAGTGAATTTAAGCATTTGGGTACAAACTGTTTCAGTTCTAGGCGTTATTGTAACAATGGATTAAAAACACATAACTTCTTGTACAGCCATACTCTTAACACATTGTTAAACACTAGTGTTGTTTCAATCCCCACATTTGACTCTAGGGGTCTTAAATAGGTGAACAGATTTATAATTTCTGAGATATTTGTGGCAGTGGAATATTTTAAAGGTTCATCCAAGGTTACAATCTAATATTCTGGATTACTGAGCCACCTAATATCCTGGTTGTGTGCCAACGTTTCAGAGGAACAATGCCCGTCTTCAAAAAGAAGAGAGAGGCACTATATCCTGCAGAATGTTACACAGCACAACCCAGAAGACCACAATATTCCATCACCGTGGAAACCTCAAATTCTACATATCCAAGGTTAGTCTGCAGGAACAAGCAGAGGCATCAAGAGGGAACACTGCAGATTTTCCCATAAAAATAATATCTCTTATGATACTCCCTGCCTGCAATATTTGTATCGCCACTATAATAGGTAGGGTTAGAGATGTGGGTAGCTTTCTCTAGCCTATTAAATATAGTAAACCAATCTGACAGTTACTAGTTGTGGATAATTGAACATGCACAAGATTTCTAATTGATTTAATCCAGCACAGTATATGTGCATGTTACTCATCTCATGGTTCTCAATTTTTGTTTGGTGCAGAGCTGGGAGTATTTTTCCAAGCTGACACTAAATCATTTGTTAATTATTCACATTTTATACATATATATATATATATATATACACACACATATGTAAGCAAAAGTTAACAGGAAGTAACAGTAAGGTTAAAATAACTGAAGCACATGAAAACAGTATACATATCTGTATATAAAGCATATCATCCAAAGGTTTACATAGCCAAATGGCAATTTACTAAGTTCTATATGTTCACAGTTTTGGGAATACGATGACGACAATGATGACAAAGATGTCGATTGTTCTCTTGCATGCAAAGAATCACATCAATCATCCTGTATACAAACCTGCACAACAATTTTGTATGGATATCACTAACCAAATGTTCGTGGAATGGTATCACCTTATACTAATGCAGTTATGTAAAAAGGTTGAAAGCATAAAGTTACTAAGACAGTACCATTTTCATCCCACAAAGTTAAGTTCTGTAGTCATTGAAGGGAAAGATACAAATATAATAATTATCAAGATCTTCCAGTTTCTCAAAATACCTGCGAATATAAATTATGTTTCATTATCACAACACACTCCTATTATAACATTTTTATCTAAAATATACAAAAGCCTGTTTTACTGGAGGTTCAGAGGATAGACAGCACAGGCAAAGTTACTGGAACAACCATTAGTTTCTCAATTCCTTCCCTCAGCCCTCAAGTATAAGCTATACACTGAGTTTCACATAATTATATTTACATAATTACATAGTGGATAGTTAACATTCATGTAGGCCTATCAGTGATGAAGTATGATACTTGCATTTAAACTGGCAAAATATTTGTAAATGTATTATATATGAACACTTTTTATAAAAATTATCCATGCAATATATCTAGTCTGCTCTGGCCCCATAAGTTGCTTTCTTAGATTCATCTCAATTTTTAACCAATATTAATCCCCATGACTTATTATTATTCCTCCAATTCTCATGCACATACCAGTAACTTAAAAACAAATTTCCTGAACTCAAGTTTCAAACACCCAAATCAAGTCATAATCACCAACAATTTACTTATTTAATGACTGTGTCTAATTTGTCTCCAGTTTTAACTGTTTTAGTTACAAAGAAGCTTAAATATTTATGATGAAAGTTTTATCACAAAATGAGAACATTCAGTTACAAATTAGTATTACATCTGACATGTCACTGAAAAGAAAACTGAGCCACATACAGGAATATGCTACCTTGAAAAGAATTTCATGGAAATTGTGAGGGGATAAAAAAGGCAGTGTGTATCTGCTGCTCTTTGTACACGACTACAGTCCACCAATCACTGTAATAATCACGTTTCAAAATCGCACTGCAGTGAAGTGTATCACTTTCCTTAAATATACGCTACACAACCAATGCACAAGTATTCTAGCTCTTGATGAGTAGAACTCTTCAATACATTCTTAAAAACATTTCACAGTAAGTAACAGCTAAACCAAACAATAATTCAAAATGTCAACATGACAAAGAGCACAAATGCATTTCAATATTTTGATGTACTCTTTTATAGAATTAGTAGTAATTTTATGGATGAACAACATAGAATGTGTGAAGATAACCCACCTAAAACCAGGAAGAATGTACACTTTAACATTTTTATACTTTAATTTGTTAATTAACAGATCTGAAACTCAACATATACATGATATTTAGAACTCAATCTCTCATTTATATGGATCTTCAGTACATGTATTGGACTCAATGGCAAACAAAGTCATACACTGAAAATATTGCATTTATACATGGCCAACTGGAGTAACACAACTCGGGTAGTGTTTTCTGTGTGGAACTTCATCAATTTGTGATATGTTCTTGTTAATGAAGTATTCTTGCAGCACTGGGGGGGGGGGATGTAACGGTCAGGAGCACAAATTGGCTGGGCCAATCAAGAGTGTCTTAATCTCTCACTTCACTTTCAGAACTTACACAACTATTTAACAATCACTTACCTCAAGAACAAGAAACTGCTTTGCTCATATTGCAAACCTATTACAGGACCATAAAAATCAAATCCAATTTCCAAAAGTCTTTATTCAGATTGGATATATTATGACTTTGAGCAGAATTAGCTTTGGTTTATCAGTACTGATCAAAACCATAGCTTGTTGCATGTTATAGCAAAGTTATTCTCAGACCAAAATACACTGAGCAAGGGAGCTTTCTTTTGAACTTTAAATTAGTAAGTTTACATAAAATACTGTATTATGCTCAGAATGTCATTCTTAACTTATCCCACAAGTAGGATATTATGTTGAGCAAACATCAAGAGAAAGGAAAAAAACAGCAGCAGTAAAACTTTTCTTCCCAGGTTTATACATATGGAATGTTACAAACATTGCAACATTTAAAGTAATTTTTATATTGCATTCTACATATTTCATTTTCCTCCATGGTGAATAACTCCATACACTCAATCTAAAGTATTCTAGTCAATACAATACTTAAAACAACAGTTTACATGTCACCATACACATTAAACTGCATGAAGCAATTTCTTATTCTTCAAGATTCCAATTGAGTATGTTCCCATAAATTTTGTAGCATATGAAAAGGTTTTGTATACAATGGCCAGCATTCCATTTGGGAAGGAAGCACTTTGTGTAAAGTTTTAATAATCGAGTTACTGCGATACCACTTCGACATAATTTGCTGGGTACAGACCCACACGTCCATCCTTCCTGCCTTTGCACCATCCCTGTTCATCTTCATCTTCTAACTTCTCAAATACATCTCCTGTAAATAGAATATTACTCTAATAATGTATTTTCCAATAAATAACATTATTAATGCCATTAGTTGCTGTCTCACACAGAACTTTTAAACTGATGTTCCAAACAGTACTTAAGACAATATTAACTTTAACCACCAGATACAAAATCTGTTCCATTTTACGCCATCTAGGCACTTGGGGGGGGTGGGGGTGGAGGTATAGCTCCTACTCATTCTAGAGAGGGGTGAGTGGTTAGCATCACGCCCCGGCTGCGCTTTACCCCTGGGAAAGGACCCCGATACCCCTTGTATAAGAGGCTGGGTGGACCCCAGAACTGGTCTGGATGCATAGGTTAGAGGAAAAGTTCTCTGCCCCTGTTGGGGATTGAACCTCATCATCCAGTCCACAGTTAGGGAAATTATGTTATAGGCCATTCTGTACTGCAAGCATCATAAATTGTAAACTGTGGAACAATGTACATATGTGAGCTCAGAAGCTACATGCTGGAGCCACCTATGGATTAAGTGAAGGTTGTACAAACTTATTTCCTCTTTTATCTACTGGTTAATGCAAAAATACAAAGTTTTCTTTGGAATTCTTTTTAGCATTTACATTTTATGTTCCAGTGAATTTAATATGGAAATTCACAATTCATGAACTATAAAGGTCACACTTAAAAGATACACAAATTGATCACAGTATTAAAACGAAGTTTTTAATCAGTGGGAAAAAGGGACAAGGGAGAAGTTTCAGGAGTATAGTAAGGTAAAATGGGGGGGGGGGGGCTTTGGTCCACAGTTCAATCTTCAAACACTAAAAACTATCTAAAGAAATGTACATTTGATGTGTATGTTCCTGGTGATACTAAAAGCACTGTAGTTTAAATGTAAAATGGATAACCAAGAGAGTTCCTGTATTAGGGTTATGGAAACATTCATGTTGACAAGGATAGACAGTGGTTTCAATTGACACAAATTTGAAAGTAAGTCATACCTATGAGAACTCTTCACATAAACTGTCACGATACAAGTGTTTTGTTGAAGATACCCCCACTCAAAATTCATCCTTGTGGCATTATCATCAAATAAGTCAGGTTTGGAAATTTAGTTTACATTGTACTTTCACTGACTGCTACTGTATGGTTCAGAAGTTAAGTTTACTCCACATGGAGACAATTCTCCCACCTTGTCTAAAGCTGAGTTCATCAGACTCTGCTCCCTCATAGTCATACAGAGCCTTGACAGGAACACCTGGCTCTCCTGTGTCCACCAAAGCCTCTCCACCTTCCTCATCCCATTCTTCTTCCTCAAATGGGTTTGCTTCAGATCGTGTCCCATTCCTGTATGGAACAATTAACATAAACATAAAGTGATGTAAGTTTACAACTTTAATGTCTGGGTCATTTAGTTACCACCCATTATGAAACAACAGAAACTGTTGTGTAGAAATACAGGTTTTAAAATCTGGTACTATGGGACTGCCAGCCAGGGGTTGAGAGTTGGCAGTATACTATTACAATGCATGGGCATGGCTGATAAAGGTTAACCCTTCAAGGCATATGTTGTTAACATCAAACCAACTGCAGTATCATACTTCAAACATTGTACTTCTGACATATTAGATTTTTCAAACAGTCTTGAGATGAAGAAGTGAGCAACTGTTGCAATGGAAGTGAAGTAGATGCTTCCGATTCTGATGATAATGTTTCTTCTATGATAAAACAAGAGTTTAAAACTATAATTATATAGCATGAACATTTCACTGGATTCTATTTGAGCAGTTTTTAAAATACACAAAAAAGAAAAATTATCTGCAAAAATACTGGCGTGAATGGTTAAAGGAAATGACACAAGTTTTGGAACTTAAAACACGAATCAAAACAACAAAATGTCTTGGCAGCTTGTTGTTACAGCATGTTTTCAATTATAACTCTCAATTTTATGGTATACTTTGAACCAGTTTCCTTTAAAATTGACAAAGTCAAAACACCTGGGAACAGCAACAATGAAATGATTTCAGGTTGGGTTTCAACCTGACCAAATCAGACCATTCCTTTATAAGCTCCTTTCAACCTTTGGAAATGTTCTGTTTACAAGCTTGGAATGAAAATTTGTACACAGTGGTTTCCTGTTATCCAAATTTTTCTCACAGGTGATAATCACTGTTCCAACTGGAACTGAAGTGAACTGTTTACAGACATGTCTCCAGTATTCCAAGTCAATTCAAAAGTGTGTATGACAAGAAGTAAAATGGTGATTTGTAACTGTATAAAATATTATATAAATTTGTGGAAATTTAAAAAGTATCAAATCTTGTACCACAAGAGGCTGAGACAGTTCAGAATTTATCTAACATGATGGACAGCTTACGTGATGGTCGATGTTCTGTTTGCACTTTCCGTTTTCTCCTTTGGCTTCCCTTCAGTTTTTGTTTCTGAAGTTACATCTGTAGATATAACCCTTGATGTAGACTTTCTTGATACTTTATTGTTAACAGGGGGAAACTCCTGCAAAGGAACATAACATACTGTTAATGGTCTTGCTGTTAATTCAAGGCACTAATATTTTCATAACTATGCATTAAAGGTAATAATGAAAATAAAACAGCCATGTCTTGTACTGACCGATCTTCAGAATACCAACTTCTAATGCGCAATGTGTGTGTGTGTGTGTGTGTGTGTGACCATTCAGTTCTTGAATTTATTTACACCATTTTAAAGAGAAAATGATTTAAAATTCATCAAAATTAGAATGTAACTTTCACTTGCCCATTTATTTGGCTGTGGTACCTCCTAGCACAAAAACAGAGCTAAACTTTTATGTCAGGCCAGATAATGCTTGTCTGTAACGTGCAACCTGTAACTGCATATTTCATACATGCCAAAGTCCGTGATCTGAGGTAGTAAAACATTCTGAAATGCCAGGGAACTTGCACATTCTGCTTTGCTGAAGGAGCCAATGCATTTACAATCAATGTACACCAAGAAGTCAAAGAATAAACAGCTAGATCCACTGTAATGTACTTAAAAACCCTATTTTAGAAAAATCACAGAAATATATACTGCTGCTTCAAACAGAGTTTCTGCATGACTGATAATTGGAATATATGCCAGGATAAATCAGTTATCCAAGTGATATGAAAACACTAGCAGTCCAAGTATAAAAATCTTATGAACGAAAGGAATTTTTAAGTATTTATCAGCCCTAATACACCCTGATCAATCCTCAAATAATGTTCAATCACTCGTAAATAAAACACTATGTGAAATCAATACATATTGTACTGAAAATGTTACCTGTAAGGATGTTAGAACTAGAACTGTGCAACTGGTGCTGAACGTCACAATCATCAAGCCACATGCAGCATTACCACACAGATAGTAACACATACAGTACCTGACATCTTATGCATGAAACTGCATTCTCTCTTCACATTCTACTCATATTTATACTGCACAAAAATATTCCCAAAAGTTATGGAGACAGCAAAGACCTCTGATGAACTTCTACCAGACTACATGCTACAACCCAGAAGACAACCATCTTCTTACCAACAAATCTCAACATTTCTGTGTAGCTGGGTTGAACAGCCCTGACAATGACTATCCCACATTTTCGGCAATCTGTCAGATGGGAACAAGCTTCTTGCTAACCTCAACTAGCTGTCATTACAGGATAATATGGCATCTGATTTTACCAGTTTTCTCAGATATTTGTTAGAAAATTACCAAATTTTAAAAAGGAATCCATTCTTGTAAACACACTGTTGCAAAAATAAAACAGCATACAAATAAGGAGAATAAATGGAAACAATCTTATTAAACCACATGACAATTCCTGCACCTGGGATAAAAATGTTCAGAACACACAGGAATATTAACTGTGTGCAGTCAGCTAGTAGGAATACAAATTATTAAATGAAGTTTTAAATTAAATATTTGTTTTATGGAACTCCACAAAAAATGGAACTGTAAGAAAATGAAAAATCTGTGGCATCATCACTTTAGCATCAATTCAAGGATTTTGAGAAGACTGGGTCATGAAACATTAAAACTATTATGTGCCAAAATCATCTCACATTACGTCACTGATATGCCTATAAACAAGTTTACATTCATAGAATTAGTGAAGCTGCAGCTGCCCCTTTCAGTAACTGACAAACATCAAAGACCGACTCCAATATAGAGGAATCTTGTAAATTTTCCCCCTAATTATTTACATGGTACTTAGATGTTGTAATTGTGTGGTAGAAGGACTAGATGCCTGAAGGATGATACTACAGTGAAACCTCTATCCTTCGTTCCCGGAACTATCGTTTTCCCGGATACATCCCATATAAAATAATGTTGTATTTTCCCGCTTCTATCGTTCCTCGAACTATCGTTTTATCGCATCGATCGTTCAAAAATCTTAGTCCCGGCCCACAATTTTCCCGCAATGATCGTTTCTGAGAAATTGTAACGAAATTTACGTGATATTTTTAGAATTTAATTCCGAAAGACGCACAATGTTGGGTGCACTCATATTTCGTTCCAGCGATGCCAGATGGCATGTGCAGTGTGAATTTCTTCACAAATGCTTATAAGTACAAAGGAAAGGCGGGCGGCACTTTTCATTCTTCTGGTTCATCTTGTGTCTTCTACAGCTACGTTTCGTTGAGTTCGGTCTTAATAGTATTTCCATTCTTCCTGTTATTGTCCACGAAGGGGGTGGAAGTGGTGAGGATGAGGAAGACGACGAATGCGAGCCCGAAGCTGTGCCGAGTTTTGCCGAAACACATGCTGCATTGGCAAAAGTGAAGTCGTTCTTTTATGCGCATAATATTAGTGAACGTGACAAGGAGGAAAACATTTTGAACGTGGAAAGGGCTCTGTTTGGCCTAAAACGTAAAGTTTCGACAAACCAGTTGTCCATTAAAGACTTTTTTGGTAAAAAGAAGTAACTTTGAAAGAGAAACATTGTTTTTTTTTAAAAAAAAATTAATGCTTTCCCGCAACTATCGTTTTCCCGTATTCATCGTTTTTATTTCCCACCCCCGCCGAAAACGATGCATCGAGGTTTCACTGTATATGGAAGAGGTGCAACAGTACTGAATTTTATTCACTTTGTCTCTCATTGGAAACATTCAGAGACTTTCAGTTGATCACATATTATCCTTATATGTTCACTGTAGTACTGGAAGACAGAATTTGGAAAAGCTCGACTGTGGTATTTATGGTCTGTTAACTGTGAACAGTACAATATTTAATAAGAAGAAATGTCACAACACTCTCAACACTTATCACAGGAACTGAATCTTAATAAGAAAATGTTATGGGTTATGAAGCCATGTGCTCAAGTCCTGAAGATGAAGACACTTATGTTTCTCCAAAACATTGGTATCTACCTAGGAGTACACACAGAACCTCAAATCTCACAGAATTTTAACCTATCTCTGAATCAGATATTCTAGTAATTTACTGTAATGGCTATAAACACGTGTAGTTTGTGTCTTGAGACATCACAGTGTGTTTCACAAATGACAGGAAAAGGTCATACCATGTGCTCACTAATGGATTTAGTCTTTTCAGTCAATGTGTACTGCTCTAAGTTTTTACATATCCTACAAGTAATATCCAAATATTTAATAAAAATTAATTTAAACACTACTACAAAACTAAAAGAATACAGAAAGGCCATTTACATGCAAATCTTCTCCAACAGGGCGTTGATTGATGAGCATGATTCCTGGGATAGCTTCTTTTGACCTGCCCTTGGCAATATCCCTGAACTCCTCTGTGTATTCCTGTGGGTGGGAAGAAACACACAACATGCAATCAGCATATCATCTTCCTACCTGCTTCCACTTGATTTCCTTTTGGATTGGCACCACATCAAATAAAGGTGACATCTTCATGCTACAACCACATTTTAAACCAAATTCCTACACGAACTTTTAAACATGTAATAAATACCAACAGTTGCCTCTGAGCAGCATCCCAGCTACACCCAAATATGTCTTAATAAATTTCCAACCACAAATATGAAGATGGCAGTTAATTTTCCCATTAATAACAAAATTAAACCTCTTTAATTCAGAGTTAAATTAATAGTCGTAACACAAACCTACTGTGTGTCATCCAGGAAATGACTAACGTGGCTGAAGAGATTTGCAGAATTGTTAATCAACATAGTTGATCAAATTAAGCGAAATCATCAAACACCCGAATAAGCAAAGTATGCATTTTCCATGGATATTTCAATAGGAAATTTCAAGTTTTTATTTTGGTCAAAATGTAGATCATATTCTTCTGGGTTGAGAAACCATGTAATCAACTTGGTATGTTCCCCTGAAACATTGGTAATCACTTACAATACTGCATGGCATACAACCCAGAAGACTATGATGCATAATATTTCTCAACAACCTCACAGAAACATGAAACATGTGGTAATTTAAAGATAATAAATTTCTTTCATTAAATTTACTGCATTTTAGACAACGTATTTGTCACAGATGATTATTACTGCAGTTTCTTTTATAATTCGGCTCAGCAAATAGAATCAAATGATTTGTTCCCTTTTTATTCATACACATTATGTGAAAACTTGAAACTTGAGCTGGTTACATGGGATACTGTTACAGTGTTGGCTCAAATTTATTGACATGGTGAGGCACAATGTAAGTTGTTATACACATTCAGGCCTGTAAGTTTATAACAAAGATCAGCTGTGACAAATCATTACAAAAAGCCTATAAATCAATCCCAAATGACATTCTGAAAATCTCAAATCAGTCATCAATGCAACTCAGTCTCATGTTATTAAAACAGGTAAGTATACTTGAAACAAAATTAGAACAAGATGACATCATCACAGGACAAAAGTACACAATGTCAAACATAATGCAAACTCAAAACTTACAGTACCTGAGTCATGGGAGAAAAAAAATGCTTAAAATTACATTGAGACAATGTTACAGGACATTCCACATCCTTCATTAAATAAAGCCTCTCTCTCAGGGATAAAAATTAGGACTACTAACTGCATACATGAATGTACTGCCACTGCATATTAATTTTGTTCTGAATTATAACACAGTGTTCTTAGTAAAAACATAAGTATACCCATGCAAGCAACATAGTTAAAAAGAATCACAATGCCTTAAGTAAATACTATCAATTTTAAATACAAAACAAATGTATACCACAATAACAGACAACATTAATACATGACAAAGAATATATTTTCCAACATTAAAATGTAGCTCACCTCAAAGTATGGCCAATTCATGGCCATGTTAACACCGTACATATTGGACCACCATTTTAGATCCTTCTCATGATCTGCATTGTTTACTGTATGATAGAATTCTTCATAGATTTGAGGAAGACTGTAACAAATTTTAATTCAATGAGCATCTACTTAACCAGTCAAGTAGGGACACCATTTTAACACATCATGCACTATTTTTATCGTGGGAGTATGACATCTGTGGATGTCACGCCTATCCACAAAACCTTTCCAGTTAGTTCTAAGCGAAGATTATTAGTGACTAAAAGCAGTCCCAAATTAGAATTTTTGCTGGTCACATAAGGCAGGGTCTAAAAATATAGTATTTGCAAGATAATGAATACAGTGATATCTCTGAGAAAGAATGAAGTTGTGGATTGTATTAGTGTTGTTGCAAGTGTGAAAATGTCAAGTAGTCAACAAAGTGACAGCTATGAAGATGAACATAGTCAGTGAAAACAATGACATGCAGCATGACACATGAACAAAGATTGGCGCCAAGCAACCACATTTTCCATTTAGTAGGAAGCCTGACCTCTGATTCAGATGATTTTAATACCCCACTGGAACATTTTATTACACCTGAAATTGCCAAAATAATAAGCAGAGAAAGAAGGAGAAAATGTAGTCATCTACAAAAACAAACTGGTAATTCATATTTCAAGCAGTTGATTCATAATTATATAATGAAAGACCAAGATATTGAATTTCAATTAATGTCCAAATTAAATAGCTGTTGTAACAAATTTAAAAATCAGGCAGATAATTTGGAAATTATCACCAAAGTGGTTAAAATAACATTCTCTATTTCAAAGTTTGCAAAATATATACCTGTAAATTACTTTTAACAAGCATATGATTCTACTATCACTTCCCTTCCAAAGGTGTCTTCTGTTACACACTACTCTCACATAATTCCCTTCTAGTACTCTTTTTTTAAATTTCATGTCTTGCACTCCTCAAAATGGTAGTAACAAAAACCATGAACTTACACAGGATCTTGTGAAATGTTGAGACATTTGTGAATACTGAACATAATTTCCTTGAAAAACTGCAACCTCTGTGCTTCCATGTCTTGGCACTTATCAAATACAACAGTCATGTCTTCCATATATTTAGGGTTATATCCATTTATTTCATCTAAAGCTGCATCATATTTCTCCTTAGCCTTCTGAACATCGTCTTTAGACTTCTGGACACGGTCTTGCATTTTCTTCACCTGCAAGAATTTAAAACAAGAAAAATATATATAATGTGACACCATTATTACTGTTAATGGCTTAATTTCAGCTATATATTTTGGTAATCCGACATTTGTTCAAATAATTTTTTCCATACTTTCAATGGACATTGCAACAGAAAGACATAATGTTTGTCATATTAATGGAAGTTCCAGTTACATCTTTAATATTCGTAACCTTTTGAAGCCAAAGATCATCTAAATAATATTTAAGGATTCAGATCCTACCACAAAGAAAATACAATGTATTTCCATTACAATGCTGAATTGGTTAATGCTGTTTGGCAAATAAACACTTTGCCTCGAGCATTGTACAAAAACCAAAAGTACAGTACATGGGCAAAATGCAATTATTGACTGTCAAAGCAGGTGGTACATATAGTAAAAACTGGACTTTAAAGGATCAGATGAGATACAACAAGAACAATATGCTGTATTCAACCAGTTTCTTGTCATAAAGTTGAACAAGATTGTAATTTACTAACTATGTTTCAACATAACTGAAGTAATTTTCAGTGTCAATATATTGATGCTTACTATGAAAACTGCCTATATAATTTATAAATAAAGCACAGAAAAACATATAAAACATAACTATGATTCCCACTAATTACTTATGTTAAAGATTACTGCAGTTAACAAATATGCTCACGCACATGCACACTTACATACAAGTGTTTTTGCTGTCACATGTAAAAGCATATATTACATTGTTAAGGTAACTTTTATCTTAAATCTATGTATCTTGATATGTGGCCACACCTGTGAAAACTAGCAATTTTCCTCAAATGGATTATTTCATCATGTCTGTTGATTTTGCATTATTATTGTTGTTGCTGTTGTTATTACTTCATAAATGTTTGTTGCTCCTTTTTCTTTACTATGCATTCACAACTACAAGCCTTGCAAATCGGTGTATTAGCTTCTACCCGTTTGTCATATATTTAAGGCGACCTGACAAATCTCTTTCAAACATGGCACCATGAGACCATCCATTACATGACGTGCACAAGGATACTTTTAGGAAAATTATATATGCTAGTAAACAAATTTACATAGCAGGAATTTTGTGACTCATATATTTACTGCAACTACATACTTTCACCACTGGCTAAACACAATGGTTACATATTTGTGTTTCAATAGACTCTTCTCTTGTCTCAAGTGTGTCAGTCATGCTACTCATGCCATTTAGTCAGCATTCCTTCAACTTCCATAAAAGCAAATTAGAAACTTAATCTCTTCTTGACAGTTTATCTATGTTTACGATCATTAATCAAACCAACATTAGATGATGTCTTATTAATCAAAGCACACATCAAATGAGTAACTATTGTGTTAGTGAGGCAATGTTATTTTTTAATGAATGTAACTGATTTGCTTACCATGGCTGCTTTCTGTAATAAAATAAAAACGTTAATTGTTGATAATGAACAGAACAAGTTTATACACAAAGACAGTAACATTTTAAATAATTCTAAACAATTATTTGAAAGTACAAACATTATTTCATTCCATGTTATGGACAGTCTCTGTTAAGAAGAGAACAGAATACGGGTATGGTCTAGATGTGAAATGCATCTCCCCTTAAAATTTGGCAATGTCTGCATTAATGTGTCTCATGATACAGTTAATACAGCCACCTTTATAAGAAAATTTCTACTTTATGACTTTATTGCTTAACTGTACGAGGAAATCACTCTTAAATATTGACATTAAAAGGATTTATTATGGCTTCTCATTCGGTTTACAATTACAAATATAAATTATTGATCAAAAATTATGGTGCAATGTACAACCACTTTTTGGTGTATTTACAATGGGAAGTTGCAAAAACAACTCTTAGCTTCACAGAATCCATCAGTCAGTCTGCAATATAACTTAAAAACTGCTGAATGGTTTTAATGAAAAGTGATATTGTGGTGTTTTGCTAATATCTGCAGAAAAATCCCCATTCTGGTTAAAAGCAGGCAATAATAATGGACACCACAGGAAGATCAACCATCAGGGCATTTGTCTTTAGCATAACTCATCAAATATTTGTAAGAGTAAAGAATGTCTTGACCAACCGTTGTAGGTAAAAATGAAACATTTGATGCACATAACTGAGATAATTAGAAAAAAAGAAAATACTTTTATGCTTCTGTAATCTATTAACTGAGAATATTGGACTGATTTAGATAAAATTTTGTAATGAATATGCTCATCTGCCCCACCTATATCATGTTATTTGTTAAGAGATCATCAAAATCTAGCATTCATAACCTGAAAATTTGGAGGCAATAAAAAGAGTGTATGTTTCACAACTGTTATGCTGCACACATTTCCTAACTTGTATTAGAGAGGCACTTGTAACATACATAGCAAGTTAATACCTTGAACCAGTGTTTTCATATTCAATTTCTTGTACATGAGGAAAGCCACCTTAGACAGAAATATATCTACATGGTATTTTATAAACCAAAGGATTACAAGACCAATTCCCTGAATGCTGATAATGATCAAGAAAGCATTATAGCAGCTGAACACTTTAACACAAGGTTAATTACTTTCGGCATTGATATGATCTGTCAGACACCAAAAGATCAGCTTTTATTACTTTTGTACTGTGCCATATGATCCAACTGAACATGAAAAGTGAAAATATACATACCTGATCTGGTGATAGGGAACTATCTGCTGATGCATTCCTTTCCTGATTTGAGGCTGACTTCTCAGTTTTACATGCAGTATGATAGTCTACCTTGGTTTTGTTCACTTTCGCTAACAATTTTGACCATGGCTTCTGTGCCTTTTTAAACGAATCTTCCATTTCTTTCCTTTCCTTTATTTGAATCATTGACTGAAAAACAAAGACAACACAGATCAGTAATTCTGTTCCATTTCTCTAAGACTATTAACACATGACGTTCTGAAAGCAATCATAACTGAAAGATACATCAACAAAAATTAAAAGCCATCATTCCTATAAATACTTATGTTTGAGGACTAAATATATATTGGAAACATCTTCATTATACAAAGGATTTCTTCAACCTTTAACATATGACTTGGCTACAGACAGGGGTCAACAAATGTTGCTCCAGTTTACCAGTTACAGAAAAATTCTATTTGTCAGACAATTTCTCCATAAGAACCATCAAGAACAAATGTTGACAACAAGCAACTGACTAGTACAGTGGAGGCAGTCACTACTAGCAGCATTTAGCATCAACACAAATGGAACAAAGCAATGTATCGTTCAAACAATGATATAACTGGTGAACTGTATTTCACTATAATCTTTATACCACAACCACATTAACCACAGTCCTCATACCCATGCCACATACAAAGTTACTGTTCAATCAATGTCTGTGGAGAAATAAAACAGGAAAAAGAGGGAAAATTAATTAAATAAATTTAAAAAATTTCACTCATTAGCCTTCATTTTTCACTGGTCATGGGCAAACAGGTAAGTGGGTTTGCTGAGCCACAAGTATAGAATACAGGTGACGCACCTGCTTCTTCAGACACACAAGACAAATAGTGAAGTGAAATTACCAACACTGTCACCTGCTGATAACTGAAAAGAAATTGAGTGTAATTTCAATATCACCATCAGCATTTAGAACCTTGTAAATATACTGAAACATATAGCAAAGAAACAGAAGGGTCATACATACTTCAATGGTTTTGCTATAAAATGTATCTGCTTTCAATCACAAGTTCAACTGAATTTCAGAGATGATGTATAAGATTTATATGCCTACAGAATCAGATGAGAGTTTTAGAAATGGATAAGCTACATACTACAGAGACCTACAAAATATGTAACACAGGAACTAAAATTTGTAAACTTTCCAGTCAGGCAGGCAGGTAAGTAGGTATTCTCTCACTCTATCTACCAGGTATAACTCTGGTTTTATTACATTAGGATAGCACCTCATAAAAAGTTGCCAAAAAATTTAAAGAAACATGCTTCTAATATATTCTGTGAGAAAAAACATCCAGGCTTAACACAGGACTGAACCTGTGCACCCACATTTCAAAGGGTATCATGCCACTGTACCTGAATCCACACAGGCAAATCTGTGCCTGTTCTGTGCTGCAGGGGAGCAAATCAAAATTCAGTAGCATGATATCATTACAATGCAGTCTGTCTTCTTGACCTATATAATTCTACTATTACCAGAACCATTAGACAGCCAGTAACAAGAACAATGTGTGTTCATTAAAAATAAGTTCTCAGTCATTTTATGTACAACAGTATTATTGTGTTTTACTGTCTGTCTGATAACAATGGTTAATTTTCAGAGATCACTGTGCAACAATGCAACTTAATACACCAAATTACTCAATAAAATCAAACTCCCACTGCCACTTCAACTACAACTTCATCATACCTGTTATTAAATGACAAGACAGTTTATAATTAATCTTCTTTGGTTCTGGTTTCTATTAACAGTCAAGGTAAAGTAGAATTTAAAATATGCAACAACTATCAACACAATCTTTGATTTGTGCTTACAAAATACATGCATTTAAATTCAACTATTATTACACACTTTTGAAATGAATCAAAATGTTTTTTAAATTCTCTCTAAAACAATGGAAAAGAGCATCTAGTACTGTAATGTTACTACCAGTTGCTGAATAAATGTCATCTTTCTCACCTCATGATGATACTGTAAGATTCTTGACATTTTACAGCCTCAAATTGCCATAACATGCTTTGGAACTAACGTCGCAGTTACATACAAATATGGTACATCTTGTATTAACAATAAACTGTATCAATTAAAGTTCACATACAGCTATGTAATAAAGCTAAATTTTCATCAAATTTTATTAAGTTCAGTATTCTTTAAGAGCATGAATATTGTGTAAGACTTGAGGTTCTCACAGCGGTGAGTATGAAGATTTCCGTCTTCTGGGTTGTTGCACTGTGTAGTCTGGTCGATGTTAACCAACGTTTAAAAGGTCATACTGCCTCCGTCGTCAGGGCGATGATGGAGGCAGTATGACCTCTGAAACGTTGGTTAACATCGACCAGACTACACAGCGCAACAACCCAGAAGACGGAAATCTTCATGAATATTGTGGCTTATCATGTCAGAATTAATTATTTACTAAATCTACACTAACGACTGTGCTACTTTAGCATGGTAAAAATATCATGGCCCTTCAAATTACACAGTTTAATTTTATGAACTTCCTTGAGAGCTATATTCCTGTACATACACAATAATCAAGTATTAAAATACAAAGTCCCATCAAAGCACAGTGCAGTTAACAAGATTGTACGCCTACCTTATGATATGTGTCTTTCTGCCATGTTTTAACTTGCTGCACAACATCATTACAGAGATTGTCCCTGACCTTCAAGTGCAGGTCACACAACCTGTCTGCCTCACCCAAAACTCCTTTCCAAGCTGCTTCTGTTGTGCCATACTCCGGACCTAGTAAAAACCAAAGAAATGTACTGATCTGTATTAAACAAATGGCTAGTCTGTATCGATACATGCCTTACTTTAGTACTCTGATTATGCTAGCAGTGAGTTTTCTTTAATTAATTTTGAGAGTATCACTGGTTCACTTGGTAGGTATCCAACTACAGACTGAGCCCCTCCAGCATTTTAAGCCCTTGCATGCCTCTTCATGCAGTGTTTTGGTTCTCTTCTCACAATTTCAACAATATGCAGCAAAGTAGTTTGCATACTGTATGGATAACTTCAATTTACAAAAATAAATTCTTGGTTCTAAACTGCATTAAATTGTAATTATATCATATGTGGAAACATTCAATTTTTGTTAAATGGACAGTTGCTCAAAATTTGGATAAGGGCTACTTTGCAAAAGTCTCCTAAATAAACGAAGGTTTGAATACCTTTTTCAATCAGGTCATTCCATTTCTTGGACCATCCCTTCAAGCTCTTTGCATATGCCTTCTCAATATCAGCTCTTTCTTGGATGAGGGTCACAAGGTCATTACACAGTCTGTATCCATCTTCAATCCGTTTTGTTGTTCGTTTATAGTTGCCAGGTTCCCAGAATGAGTCACTGGTTGCTATTAACATGTTGTCATCGCTGTGGTGAGACATTTTCTCGAAAAATCACCCCACAGTCCACCTGGAAAAAAATTCATTGGCAGTTCTTTGTCATTAGTTTTTATGCAGCAATGACACTTTAATGTAACTATTATGTACTGTATATCCAGGTTCCTCATATTACATCATATCCTACCTGCCAGTCTTTACTAATGCTGGGATATGCTAGTGATACTTTTGTGCAGTAGTTGCATTTCAGACATCTCACTACACAACTACAGTACCCTGAGGATGACGGCAAAGATGGTTCTAAAAATGCTGGCTTTTCTCCATTAAACCACTTTACACAGCTGGTAGCCCGAGAAGAATTCATTATACTCTCACTTATAGATTCAGGAATGGGTCTACTGATTTTGCTATATTAAGTCTCTAGAAGATCAGCAACAAAAGTGTGAATCTGTTTAATAAATTCAATGCTGTATTGCAAGATTAAGTTTCACTGACATAACCTAAGTAAAAAGTAGATGCAAAACATTTTATGGTAAATCTGTTCCTACAATCTTCAAAACATATTGCATTTACTAATTTCAAAAGCATTCGGCGCCACATTCTAAAACGGAAATTACATAAATGAAGAATTGTGTCCTGTGCACTTACAAGAAGGCATCTTTGCTATTTCAACACACCGCTGTCTAAAAACATCATCCCGTCATGAAGTTTATGAAACAGAACTAGATACTTTGTGTGTGTATGAAATGTTAAAGCAGTCACTGTTTGCTGATCTTTGTGATAAAGTAATGGAGATCACAAGATTTTTTAGATGAAACCCACGAGTAGGTATGTAATTCATTATTCTGACAGTTACAAGGAATTTCTGCAAGAACTGTTGTACATACAGCCCATATTAGGATTAAAAACAACTAAAGAGCGCATCAGGGCCTGATGAAAACTCAATTGCAACTATTCTACACTAGTAACCAGTAAGAGGGTCAAGAGTGCGAAATCAAACATCTTCAGATAAAATCGGGAATAATTATATGCAAATAAAATATATTCACCCAGATTATAACATCCTGCCACGAATAAATCTGTCATCTACAGCAAATTTATTTTACAGGAACAGTTGGGTCACTTCATCGTTATTCAAGTTTCCGCCTTATGAGTAGACAACCCATACGACACGCCAGATTGATGGGTGGCGAGCGGAACAGGTATAACTGTAACGGAGCAATTCTGCACTGAAGGTTTTGTATCCTGGCTCTTGAACCTTACAAAACAGCAGAGTATCTCCACATGAAGCGCCAACTATGAACGCTGCTTTTAACTATTTCCTCAAAAAGAAAGTCATCACACCTAAAGCATTAATCTAATATGTAGGCTACTGTACTTCGTCTCGCTTTCACAGAACCGACAAACTCATCGCAAGGGGCTTTTCTATCATTAATTCGGGGTATTAATAATTCCTGCTTAAACCTGCGCATGTAACATGCTCCTTTATCTACCTTGATACATTAAAAGTATCATAATCACAACACAGAACATCACATCGAAAGAAACTCCCGTACCAACTTCTACTTCATGACTGACAAAACAAAGGTAAAAACGGCTTCATACAACAGATTTTAAATTCCGTCTTCAGATATTACAATGGGGGCCTCTCACTGTTTCAGCAACTAAACTGCTCAACCCAGAACTATCCCTGACCCACACAACGGCTGCTAAGTACTGAAGACGTGAAGGAGAGGTCCTTCACATGGTGATCTTCACGTTAAATAAAGTGTGTGATGAATTTCAAGCATCACACAGCACGGTCAGTTAAGAGAATCAATTAACATCCATTTCGGGGACAGAAACCCGATGGTACAGTTCGTAGCCAATACGAGTACTACGTCATCGCCAGATACAGCACGAAATGAAAATTCGTCCACACAGTCCAATCACGTCCAACACATTTAGGCCTGCGGGAAGTTCATGTATTAGATTGTTCTGATTTATTTCGTCTTGTAACTATTCTATATAAGGTAAAGCTAGCAGAGATTGCGCGGTAGGAGAGTTTGCGCATGTCTAAATTCAGGTGGAAGGGGGTAAGATGTGCGTACAACAGCGTGAGGAGCAGTAAGCACATCACTCGTAGAGGCTTCAGTTAAATTTACGTGTCGATGCAAGCTGTTCTCTGTGTTTTATTGCCAATTTTCTGCTTGTTCTGTAGAAGGTGAGGGCTTGAATTTTCTGGAATGTTTCGTATATTTTCATAAGAA